CTAGAACCTTCTACCTATAAGAAGGCTATTAGTGGCAATGAGGCTGCAGATTGGACTGTTGTGATGACTGAAGAGATGGAGTCTCTTCATAAGAACCATATATGGGAGTTAGTGAAGCCACCAAGGAGACAAAAGATTTTTGGCTGTAAAATGAATGTTCCAGAAGAAAGAAGAAACTTCGGATACAAATTTTGTAAGATACAAGGCACACTTAGTAACTAAAAGCTATACAGTCAGACCGAAGATGTGGACTTTAATGAAGTATTCTCTCCAGTTATAAAACACACCTCAATCTGCATGTTGCTTGTCATGGTTGCTCATTTTAATTTGGAGCTTGAGCAACTTGATGTGAAGATGGTTTTTTTACATGGAGAGCTTGAGGAGCAGATCTTTATCCATCAGCCAGTGGGGCTCATTATTGAATGTAAAGAAGATCATGTGTGCAGGTTGAAAAAATCTCTTTATAGGATGAAACACTCTCCAAAACAATGGTATTTGAGATTTGATACTTTCATATTTGAGTATGGTTACTCTAGAAGTAAATATGATAGTTGTGTTTATCATAAAAAGCTTAATGATGGTTCTTTTGTATGTTGACGACATATTGATTGTAGCTAAAGACATGTCAAATTAATGAGTTAAAATCTCAACTTAAACATGAGTTTGAGATGAAAGACTTGGGAGTAGCAAAGAAGATTTTGGGGATGGTGATCCATAGGAATAGACGAGAAGAAAATTTATTTCTATTCAGGAGAAATACATCAAGAATGTGTTGGAAAGATTTGGCATGCTTGATGCCAAGCCTATGTGAAGACTTCATATGCTACTTATTTTTGTCTTTCAGCAGATTTGTTACCTCAGACTGAAGAAGAAGAGCAGTACATGTCTTATATTCCTTATGTCAGTACAGTTAGAAGCATTATGTATGCTATGGTCTACACACTTTCAGATATTTCATATGCAGTCAGTGTTGTGATTCGGTATATGGATAAGTCTGGAAAGGTCCATTGGTAGGTTATGAAATGGATAGTTATTTGAGAGGATCTCCTAATATTGATTTATATTATGACAGGAACACAAATTCAAATTTCAGAATACTTGTCTATTACGATCCAAATTATGCAGGCGATTTGGATAAAAGACAATATTTAACATGTTATGTATTCACTTTTCAAGTAGTGTTATTAGTTAGAAGGCGACTCTACAGTCGACAGTTGCTTTGTCTACCACAGAGGCAGAGTATATGGCAGTGATAGAAACACCGAAAGAAATCATTTGGTTAAGAGGGTTAAGAGGTTTAATTAAAGATCCCGTCTTACACCAATGTGTTACTACGGAATTTTGTAACAGTCAAAGTGCTATACATTTGATAAAACATCAGATATATTATAAAAGAACCAAACATATAGATGTCAGGTATCATTTTATCAGATAAATTAAAGTTATTAAGAGATATGATGACGAAGACCATATTTTCACGCAAGTTCAAGCATTGTCTCGATTTGCTTGGAGTTTAACAAAGTGGAGGTTAAACTCGTAAGAGGCTTTTGGCGAGACAGCAAGATTGAAGAGAAGATCTTTATATTCAAATTTAAGGTAGAGATTTCTTATTATTTGACTTTGTATAAAAAGCCAAAACTCACCTACCTCCCTACACCTAACTCCCTATTACACCAACCATTAGCAGTAATTTTATATTAAAATTGAAAGGCTATAAATGAAGATGAATAGTGAAGGGTGAAAGACATCGGGTAGAGAGAAGAGTTAGTGAGAAGAGAGAGAGAGATAGAAAGAGTTAATCTCTTTCTTTGTGTGATTCTTTAGTGTGGTTAGAGAGTGATCTCTTTTGTAATCTTCTCTTTTGTGATTAGTAAAATTCTCTGTTGTTCTCACCCATGGACGTTGGTCATACTGACCGAACCATGTTAAATCATTGTGTGTTGTTCTCTGTCTCTACTGTGATTACATAGTATTATGTTATTATCTACTTTGTATAGATAATTTTTATGTCTGTGAAGCCCCTCGCTGTAACACTATGTACGTCCATGAGAGGTCGAGAGATAAGAGATTAACCAATCTTTTGTAATCTTGTCCCTCATAATTGGTGGATTTCTCATACTTGTCGGCCATGGATGTAGGGCAAACATGATCGTACGAGCCAAATAAATCTCATGTGTTCTTCTTCTTGCTTGTGTCTGTGGCCATCTTATGAGCTCGTGTTTGATCTGTGGGTTGTGAAGATGGAATATGGGATATTCAATCCTAAAGAACTGGTATCAGAGTCCACGCTGATGAATTTGGGGTGAGTCGCAAGATGGAGGCTATGGCCATGCAAAATTAAAGATTGTCTCTATAAGAGTCACAAAGAAGAAGAAAATCCAAAGTCTCTATGCAGAGCTAGTTAAGCTCTAATAGATCAGATTTGGATCTGCGATGAGTTTAGACAGCTAGTGGGAAAATCAACAAGATCACCGATAAACAATACTGGCAGCATCATGTGGTGAACACAGTCAAAACCGTGATGTCGCATGAGTTTCTTAGCGAGGCAAGAGTTTTTCAAGCATGTTTGCATGAAAGAAAAGAAGAGCGCAGGAGAAAAGCCAGTGAGAAGGCTGGACATCGTGGTGATTCGGACCTATCAGGTGGAGCCTAAAGCCCATGGCAGATCATGAGATTTTTCTCACGTGGAGTTTCTCTTGTGTGAAATGCTAGAGAATGAAAGACATGAATAGTGTAGATCCGATGTCAATGATCTGGTGTTTGCTAGTTGTGTGTTTAGTGTTCTAGATCCAGATTGGATGGTCCAGATTATTCATTGGATTGTCCAGATTGTTTATTAGAAGATTAGTGGATCATAAGCCGATTGAGGCAATTCAGAAGTTGAACTTCATTTTTTTCTTAATGTTTAGGACATATCGGGGGAAATGGATTACGTAGACTCCATCATTTGGAGCTAGTTTCAAACCATCAGATGTTAAATGACTGGAAGATTGATGGATAATGCCGATAATTTTAATTAAGCATGCATATATATCTCATGGTTGGACGCTTGTTACTTCTAGACACTATTTGGCACATGACATACATCATTAAGTCACTTCAGAGTTGGTCATAGTGTATAGATATAGGTGTAGTGTGATGTGCAAAATGATCCCAAAGTTTTGACCAAGATGGAGCATGGTGTGATTACTGTAGTCCGGGTGTGACATGTTGAGCGATCAGTGATACTTGTTAAGAAGCGAACGATGATCATACTTGTACAAATTCTATCCAAAAAAAGTTTTGATCGGGCATATATGGTGTTTGTCTGAGAAGTAGAAGGTGAGAATATCAAAGTATCTCCTAGTTTTGTGAAGCACGAAAAACTGGTTTACCTACAGATGGTGTATGGTGTCCGGAGATGTGGCCTATGGTTTTCTACGCTAGGTTGAGATATATCCACATAGGTGCGGCTCAAATATGAGCCATGGTGGAGATTAACGAGATGTTTCTCATATCTGTTTAGCATTAAGTGGGTTTGTACCTCGGTTGGCCTTTGGGCCAAGTTAGTGTTAGGTTTCTTGTCATAACACTATGAACGTATCCTTAGAGCATCTCCAACCCAAAAACCCAAAATAGTATAGTTTTTATACTAAATTAGTGTAGTTTTTACACCAAATCACTATTTCATCTCAAACCCATTACACCAAATTTTACACCAAAAAGAATATTCCTTTTATGATTCTTATCTTCTAAAATTTTATCTATTTAAAATATTTAACAAATTATATATTATATAATTATATAATACATTACATATAATTAATTATAATAATATATTTTATGAATAAAATACAAATATAAAAATAATGCTTAATCAAGTTAAAATATTACTTTCATAAATTTATGTGCTAATTTATGTGTAATTTTTTGATTATAATACGACGTAAATTTATTATTATAAAATATATTATTAAAATATTACTTTATGTTGTATTATTATTTATTATAAAAATAATATAAATTTATTATGAATTAGCACATATATTTTATGAATATTTTATGAATTAGCACATAAATTTATTATTATAGAAAATAATAATACAACATAAATTATTGTGTAATAAAAGGGATATTTTATGAATTATGTTCTAAGTTATATTGTATTATTATTTTTATCTAAATAATTAAAAAATTAAAATGCTAAAAAAAAACAAAAAAAAAAAAATTCTGTTGCGCCAAAGCGACAGTGCTACGCCACATCTGGCACAACACTGTAGCAGTTATCAAAATAGCGTGAGTTTTAGAGTTGGGTTGGAGGGATAAAATCGTATCAAATTGGGTTTTCGCGTCAAATAGCATCTCCGTTGGAGATGCTCTTATGTGAGAGACCTTTGATGAGATTGGTGCTTTGGATTAAATGTAAGATGGTGGCTATGTATGTTCTTTTGAAGTTGAGAGATCAAAGAGATTAGTGATTTCTCTTGTAATCTTGTCCATTATACATAATGGGTTTCTCGTATTATTGCTCCGTCGATGTAGGTGAAACTTGGTAGACCTAAACATATCAATCTTGTGTGTTCCTCTTACTTGCTTATCATTGTTACTATCTTGTGAGCTTGATATTTGATCTCTGGGTTGCGAAGAGAGGAATATGAGATCGTCAATCCCAAACTGGCAATACTCCAATTGATTCATTTCTGGTTTCATCAGTAAAAGAATGGCCATTCTTATACATAACTACTATAATTAATGCTTATAATTGGAAACATTAATTGATATTAGTGATATTTTACATATTCCAGTTTCTGAAAACTTCAGTTCTTGTTCTTGGGGCATAGATCTCCACCAAGGAAGTTGCTATATTTTACATCATCTGATGGCCCACTTTGAGAGATCAAACCCAAAACTTTTTTCACATTAAATTTTCTTTACTCTCGCTGTTTCATTTTATTTTGCCTTCGAGTCATGTTTTACTTTATGTAACTGAATCGCAATTTTTTTTGTCTTGAATGATTCAGATGACGGTGGTGGTACATGGGACTACTTCCCATGCCCTTATTGCTATGTTGAAATTGAAGTACCCGTTCTCAGTACTCATCTGCTAGAGGAACACTGCTTTGATATAAAAAATTCGGTATAAAAACATTTACCACTCTTACTGCATCATTCTCCTAAAATTTGAGATTTTTAAGCATAGACTTGGTAACTAACTTAATTCTTGTTTCTGCACAATATTATTTGTTTACTGAAAATTATTTTTTGTGGATTCAGAAAAGAATTTATTAGTTATTTGTCCACGTAAAACATTTGAATTTGCTGGGTACAAAAGGTCCCAAAGGTTGTTTGGTTCATTTCTTTGTAGATTTGCAGCCTATGCATATCTTTATAGGCATGTCTAATTGTATATGGACAACACACCTCCTAAAATCATTTGAAGAGGACATATCTATTTTAACAAAGCCAGTAATTATCACAACATTGCCAAATGTTATGCAAATGGCTACAAATTTATAAGTGGTTCTGTTATGAAAGTTGGATATATTAGGAGAAGATACAATTTGAAAGTGGTTCATATTTATTCTCTTCATCAACCCTTTTTAATATGTGAAAAATTACTCATTTTTAAAGATTTGTATTCAATTGTACGTATTCTACGTGCAAATATTGTAACAGTGTGAGATATTCGTTGAACTATTTCTCCCTATATTTGTGTAAAGCCATGAACCGTGCAAATTATTGGTTAACAGGTAGTTTCATGGTTCTTATTAGTGTTAGTGGAGAATAAATCAAATGAATAAATCAGAAATATAAATTTAAAACCTTCTTTTGGTATTAATTGAGGAGCGACTATCTTCACACTTGCGTAAGAACAATGCATGTAAAGTTATTTTTGTCTAGCTAGTTTAAGTGTTTAAACTAGGACTACATTTTCTCAATTATTGTAATTTCACTTAATGAGTGACACGTGCAGCGCTACACATGGTATCTGATATAATTTTCGTTACATGTTCTAGAATCTAGATAGTAGATATCTCCCCTATGCTATTTCCTGAGCACTTTGCTTTTTTCACTTGTGATATTTCATCATGATGACAGACACATTTTTGTCTTTCTTACATCATTCATGTGCTTCTACCTCATACATTATCTACCACAACTGGATACACTACAGGCAGCGGTTAATGAATGACATGTTAATGAGGCCGATACGATCTGACAATCATTCAATCTAGATGTAGATGGAAGTTTTACTTACCATAGAGAGTGTGAGCTTTACCTTCATACCTTGACAATATTATAGTAGGACCTATGCTGTTGTAATCGGCAGAAAGTTTTATGTTTCGGCAAATGTTCTCTCTGGATGCATCTTGACATTAAGGCGTCGTTGAAGGCTTGGACCATGTTTGGAATCTGAAACTATGTTGTGGAGTTGAGGGAAAGCTTTTATTTGTTTGTCAGATGTTCTTTTCAAATGCATCTTCTATTTACATTTCCCTATATTATGTATTCATCATGCAAGTTTCAACGTATTTGGCTTTGTTCTCTGCTGCTTCTCTAGGAAATCTCTGGCTGGGGCAACCTCTGCATAATTCTTCAGGCAAACTCTGCATAGTTTCTATTGTGTCCACCTTCTAAGTTTTAATTTCGGAATCTTTGTTCCTTTTAACTTTTTACTGCTTTGCACTTCTCTTTTATTTTTCCTCCTATTCTCACTCCGTCCTTGTATGTCTCTCTTTCCGCTATTTCTTTTACCTTGCCATATTTCTGCATTTTCTCCAAGGTATTACTCATTTCTTTCTTAGATTTGTTTTTTTTTTCACTTAAAAACGTAGAATTTCTTTTCTGGGGGACCATCTTCTATTAGATATTGTCTCCTGTTTTCTTCACTTTGTTGTGTCTTAGTACACACATGCTTTAACCTTTCAACTTGATTTTTCACCTTTTTTTCTCAGAAGACGGCATATATGTCCCATTATCTTCAGGGCATATTTGTAATAATATAAGATGGCATATCCGTCCAGATAATGTTATGTTGAGGATGTTTGTTGTAGGTAATCCTATTCAAGGGGTGTATTGTCTGTTCTAACCCGCATGGAAATAAAATTTTCTTATCCCAAACCTTATTCATTCCCCCTCATCGATCCTCTCTGTGAAGTGGGTGTTAACACTGTGCATCAGGACAGTTCTTTTTATTCATAGAACAAACGGACCAAGTGACTTTGACTAGATAACTGTCTGCGCGAAGCCCAAGGATCTCTATAGGAGCTTTGTAGAGAATGCTAAATGGAAAAAAAAAACCCATAGCAGTAATTACTCAAGTAAAACACTTTACGAATGGAAACTGGTAGCCGTATGTTGATCTCACAAACAAAGAAGGACTTTGATTTGTTGAAACCAAGACTCCTTTTCAAAACTCAAAGGACCCTTCAACCTTCCAGTTCCTAAGCAAGGCCTTCCATTTGCTGAATCGAAGGACCTTGCTTTGTTCAAATTAAAATGATCCTTTCTGTCCCAAATAGAGGAACTAGTACTTGATAATCTGCAGAACCTTCAAAAGGACTACGATCGCTTATGAGATATTTGGTCAACATTCAAGTTGGATTCTAAATATACTTTGGGGGACTCAATTGCAGGTTCATAGAAACGGATGAAGGGCGGGTCAGGCCTTTGACAGATGCTAAATTAAAAGAATGGGAGGCAGGTATAATAAACATCATAAGTGTGTCAGAATGAGCACACACGCACACATAGATATGTAAGTATAGATATATTGGGGTATATTGAAGGCAGTTGATAAGGTGGGTTTTCATCCAGGATTAGACTTCGAGCTAGCATTTTGTTGCATGCACTACAAGTTGATCAATCAGAGTTCCTTTAGCGCAGAGCATGCAGCTGTCTAAAGAATAAGCCTTCTGAGTTTCATTCCATGGGTATGGAACCCATGAGCTTAAATTTATCGATCAATAGGAACACCTTTGGCAATAGTTCTCTCACTGTTTTAAAGAATTCTGCAGCAGTGAGCCCAGGCAGGTTCTTTGTTTATTGGCAGGTGAAGGACTTCAATATTCAACTCACCTCACGAAAGAGGCTTGTACAACATTTCAGTTTTGTTGAGTGGAGAACATCGGAGTGACATAATATTTAACTTCCCATTTGACTAGATAAGCTTGAAGTTATAGTTCAGCTCTTCCAATATAGAAGAATCTACCAAGAAATAAAATTCTCCTTGTTAATTTCTGAACTATCGTTCCTGTTTTCTACTGCACTAAGGATGAAGACGAGATGCTAAGCATATGCTATTGCATGAGCATGTAAAATATTATTGTATTTTTGTTTCTTTTCTTTCATCCATCTTAGCTGCTGGTGATCATGTGGTCACCCATGCCTATATCATTCTTTTACCTCATCATTACATAACTTGCATTGTGCATAGCAACATATTCACTTGCGTACTCAAAAATTTCCCCATTTTGCTATTATCAGGTATGCCCTCTTTGCGCAGCCAATCCAGCAAAAGATATGATTGAGCACATGACGGTGCAGCATGCATACTTTCTGAAGGTACAACTGTTGCTTACAGAATAGGACTTTGTAGCGAAAAAAGATTGTGGAAATTGCTTTTTCAAGCATTTGTTTTTTGCAGCGTACGAAATCTCGTAGAGCAAATTTATGGTGTGGTAACCCAGAATCTGTTGGAAAGGAACCATATGGACACAATTGTTTCGATAGAGGTCCAACCGAAAAAAGGGGAAGTTTATCCGATTCTGTTTCAGGTCCACTACTCTCGTCATTTGTCTACAACTTATCTTTTACAGATAGCAAAAATCACCGAGAAGACAATTCTGATGCTGCAGAATTAGATCCTTCATCCCTCCATGAGCAGAGGTATGTTCTGGTTGATTTTTAGCTGTTCTTTTGCAGTTTACTACCTTTAGAACTCATGGTACATGTTTCTCATTATCCTTACATAGTTATATCCTTGCACAACCATATAGCAGGAATTCGCTAGTTTTCTTTAAATTTTTAGTGTTTAATGCGTGCAAAATTTTAGGCCTATCTTTTGATCTTCATGTTGGTTTATCCTTCATTATTTACATCCCACTCATTGATAATTGGCATCTCTTGTTTAGCCTGTAAATTCCTTTCCCTTTTTTGTTTCTAGCTTTAACTATGGTATTGAAGGATTTTAAATAAATATTATATTTAATTTAATTCGGGGTTATGAGAAGGATTTTGAAGGGTTATAAATTATTTCATACTTAAAATAAATTTCATAAATTTCTATAAGGCTTATTATATTGGTACTGTTTTTATTAAGGGAAAATTGCTTTTAATCCCTTCCTAGCTTTCAACCATGTGTTAACCCTCTCACAGTTATCTAACCCTCACCACTATCGACACAATTTAGATTTGTAACCCCATAATTCTCAAATGCATCACTTCCAGAATCATTTGGAGTCGATTACAACACAGCAAAATGAAATATCTTATGTATTAATTATATCACCAAAATCCTTTGGATATATCTTAGTAATTGGTTTCTTCAGCAGGTATCGTTCTTGATTATTCTTAAGATTTATGTTATGTATGTGTTAGTCGTTCATATAATGTTGTAGTGGTTCCATCTTCAAAACTTTGTACCCTTTGTTTTCCCAATAAAATTCCTATTTTCTCCGAGCAACAAGAAAAAAAAAATCATTAGGTAATGACCAAAATTGAAATTAAAATCACCAAATTGTCAAGCCCATATTCTTTTGTAATAATGTAGTGTATATATATGTAACTACTAATAAAATTTAAGCAAACTCTCGATTGCCTCTTACTATTAACTAAACTAAAATACTTGAGCTTGAATCCTGATCAAGCTCCTTGCAGGCATGTTTCAGCATAATCTGTAACTAAGATCTACACACTTGTTCTTCCATCTTAACACTTGATATGTACTGATTACGGTCGTAAATGCACCACACCAAAGCAATATTTAAAAAAAAATTGCAATTCAAGATCTTTTCACGTCCTTCTCCATCATTGAGAACTCATTGTAGTTCTTTATCACAAATTCCAATAAATTCCTTACAGAGCATGGCATCCCAAATTTTCGCATTATTAACAAGTTCAGGACTTTACCACGTTCCTAAAAAGTTCCCAAATTTTACTCAGATCAGTCTGAGTCATAACATGTGAGAAAGAGAACAACTTATAGACGGCTATACCACAATCCTAATTAAAAGACATAATACATTATAAATTCTGAATCATTATAAGCATAGGACTTTACTCAGATCCTCACGATGTGCAAAATTCCCTTCTGCACACCACGTGATTTCTGAAACATCATAAATTAAATTCTTCTGTTCACCCTACATTCTGTACCTCTAAGGGCAACCAGTGCCTGGAAAATAAAAGCAATGGCATAAGTCTACCAAAATCAGTAATCACTCATGGAAATAATTTTGTAGAAAAGAACCGCAATGAAAAGGGCAGTAACTTCAATTCTTGTGTTCATCCTCCATTTGATATCTCTAAGCGCATTCAGACTGATAAATAAAACCAATTGTTGGGGAATTTCAGTCTCCCCGTCTACCACGATATGCGCAACTCGGAAGCCAACCTCAATCAATAAGATAGAACAACCATAACCAAGAAAAAGAACACCAAGATTTACGTGGTTCGATCGACCAACTTCGACCTACGTCCACGAGCAACAATACGAGAAATTCACTATGTATCAGGGAGAACTACAAGAGGAACCACTCAACTCTCGTCTCTCAATCTCTCAACCTCACATACATAATCAACTCTTATATTCTCTCCAAAGCCCACCCCTTGTAATCTTTTGCACGGATAAAGACTACGAAAACCCCTCTCTCTCTCATCTACTACATCTCTACATCTCTACTTCATATATATAGGGAAACAAAAACCCTATCTCTAACCTAACTTCCTAATTAGAATAGGATTCAAACTCCTAATCATGATAAAACTCAAACTCCTAATCATGATAGAACCCAAACTCCTAATCATGATAGAACTCTAACCCTATCTAATTCTCATGAAGTTACACAAAGAATCAAAGATAAAATCCCAACAATCTTCACCTTGGATTTAATTCCCAAACTCCCTTGAAGATATATCATCATCGTCTTGAAACTTTGCCTCTCTCTCTAGAGTCTTCTATTTCTTTCGCACTTCAAATCAGAATACCTGCACTCCCAATTAGATGCCTTCATGATCCTCACTATCTTCTGCTTCGCCGTGATACCTTCACCTCTCTTGTTGTCCTTGTGCTCCGCCTGCATCGCTCGTCTCAAATCATATCGGTGCACCTCTCCTACTCTACACTACGAGCTAGTTGCCTTTATCTCCTCCATTATTTGGCTTGGACTGAATATGAGCGCTCACTATCTTCAAGTCCAACGCCACCATCTTCATCTCCATGTGTGTCACTCGGTCATGCCCGCTTGCAAGCTCCACCTAATCTGGCACTGTCCTCCACAAGTATACACACCAACCAACTCCTGCTCCTTATCGTAGAGTTTAAATTTGATTAAACCAATGCCAAAAACAAATTCAGCACGTCGAAAAACCCTAAAAACGACTCCTGGATCACCGAAATCCGCCTCCAAATCCTCAATCGGCTAACAAATCAATTTGGACCATCGGATCCCCATGTGAACAGTGCCCGCCGCACTACAGTGTTCTGCTACAGTAACCTTTCACTTTTTTTCATCTTGATTCTTGTAACGCCGATTTTTAATCTTGCACGACGTCGTCTTCTATCTTGTGAACTCTCTTCCGGATCCATCACCATCGCTCTGATACCACTTGTTGGGGAATTTTAGTCTCCCCGCCTACCACGATATGCGTAACTTGGAAGCCAACCCCAATCAATAAGATAGAACAACCACAATCAAGAAAAAGAACACCGAGATTTACGTTGTTCGATCGACCAACTTCGACCTACGTCCACGGGCAACAATACGAGAAATTCACTATGTATCAGGGAGAACTAAAAGAGGAACCACTCAACTCTCGTCTCTCAATCTCTCAACCTCACATACATAATCAACTCTCATATTCTCTCCAAAGCTCACTCCTTATAATCTTTTGCACGGATAAAGACTACGAAAACCCCTCTCTCTCTCATCTACTACATCTCTATTTTTTCTTCATCGTTTTTCCTCCACCAATAGAAGAATATATATAGGAAAACCAAAACCCTATCTCTAGCCTAACTTCCTAATTAGAATAGGATTCAAACTCCTAATCATGATAAAACTCAAACTCCTAATCATGATAGAACTCAATCTTCTAATCATGATAGAACTCTAACACTATCTAATTCTCATGAAGTTACACAAAGAATCAAAGACAAAATCCCAACACCAATGACATAAGTCCACCAAAATCAATAACCAACCATGACCAATGATTCTGTAGAAAGTAGGATCTCCTTTATAAGGGGGAAAAACCAGCAGTTAAAGGCAGCTAAAAAGCAAAAGAACCACCATGAACAGAACAATAACTTTATGGTTAACAAAACCTAATCTGTATATTAAAAAAGCCACAATATGAGTTCATAAAAATCACGTAAATGAAAAATAAAACATTAAATATAAAGTATTGTATAGTTGCCATTATGATCAGAAAAGAGAAGAAATATAGAGAATTAAGAAAAATATTACCTTTTTCCATGAGTGCTGGGCAAAACGAGTTTCGCTAATGGAGAAGCTATGGAGGTGAAGAGGAAGAAGGAGAGATCCAAAGAAACATTAATAGTTGGATTGAGATTCAACAAAGAAAAGCAAAGAAAAACTTACAATGTCAAATTTTATGATAGTGGGTGGGTATATATGTATGTTTGTATTAATTATTATGATTATTACCACTACTAGAAAGATGGATATCCTTGATATGAACGAAGCGAACTCTAATTTTGTTTTCATTTTGTCTATGTTTTTATTTATATTTTTTGAGCTTGATTACCTGCTTGTTTTTGCAGCCTTGATATGTCCCTATCCAACCAGGTCTTGGAGAAAGATTATGAACTAAGAAGCCAGATGGCATTCTTTGCACAACTGATGATTCTGTCAACAATTTTCTAAGTTCTACTTCTCAGCAAATGCCCACTTGCGTCATTCTTGAAGAATTTCATCATGGATTGTTTCACTGAATAGCCCGGCTCAGTCAGCTATTTCACACAGCTCAGTTGTAAAACATTATTTCCATGGAATATATTTCCCTTATATATATTTCAGGCATCATATCTCTTAGAGTTTGTAATATTAACTGCAACAAGACACAATTTATGCATTGATGACAGTGTGTTGGGAACCATTGCATGCTATTTTGCCAGTATACGAACTACATGACACCAATTCTTTCGTTACTATCAGCTTTTAGTGTTCACGAATAAGTGATGGGTACCGTACAAGGAGAAAGTATCATACGGTCCCGTGACATATGATTATTACCGTAACATATTATTCTACATGATTGGATGCGTTAGAGGCTTCTGTTAGCTCCCACTCTCAGCATAAAAATCGAAAAGGCTCTTCTTTTTTCATTCAGGCCCATGATCATTTAGAATCTTGAATTCGTCATCTTAGTCTAAAGGTTTGAATTTGACAACGTTAGCTAGATTATGGGATTCTAGATCGACATCATTTTTGATGCAAACTAAAAAGGGAAAGAAAAATAAAATTTATCTTAGACTCACTTCTTTCCTTCTCCTCTACTTCCTTCGACCTCTTTCGCTCTCTCTCCATTTTGCTTTCTTTCTCGGCGCAGTTGAGAACAAGATGTTTGCCCCAATCGTATCTTATCTGAGGATTTCTTTTATTTGAATGGCCTATTAATGTAAAATTTTGGCATATAGGTTTTGCTTGGAAAACCAATAAAAACCCATATTTGGAAATCAACTTCATAAATTCCAAACATGTAATACCTGCATAAAACCTACATGCATTTTTCATAACACAAATTCTTTAGTTTTTTCAAAGAAATCTTCAGTTAATTATTGAATTTATTAGGTAAGATTTTAAGTATTAACAAATGTCCTCTTAAGAACTGGGTTGCTACAGGATTACTTCAACGAGTAATACGAGAAAAGGAATTTGCAGTGACCAGAAGAGAAGTTGTAGAACTTATGAAATTATGTTGTGGACAAAAGGTTCAGAGTTTGAACATAACATGTCTAAAGAAACCTAAATGTGCAATCATTAAGGCGTCGAAATAGTTTAAGCAAATTATTAGCTTCATGGATATTCATATGCTTGATGGCTGGACTCCAGTTTGTTTCTTCACGTGCAACTTTGTTAAGCTAAATATTCAGCCCATTACAACTGTACATCCTTAACTTATTCAACCAAATTTATAGATTGTTGATTGAACAGGAATACAAATGCCTATTAATTCAAGGGTCAATTTAGTTTTGACAATTTTAGTTTTTCTAGATAAGACGCCTACAGATAGATTAATGTTTCCTACAATTACATGTAGTCGGTTAACCCTAACTGTCTTAAGAATGTAGATGTAAACATTATAATGGATGCTAACACAATGACGTAGCTAGAAATTGGAGCTTGAGGGGAGCACTCTTATTACTGTTCTTAAAAATATTAAATAATTATATTGATAATCACAATTAACAATATAAATATTATTTAGTCTCAAACTCGACAACAAATGTTATATAAGAGTACCCCTAGGTCCAAAAGAATAATTAAAGTTAATAAAATCAGGTCCCAAAAAATAATGCAATTAAGCTTAAAACAAATATATTTACAAAACCCGGGGACTTGCCATTTTTTGAAATCATTACATAATTGTGTTATTACTAATAGTATCAAAATCATCAAGTTTGATTTGTTGCTAAGCAGTCATTCACATTGATTTCACATATGATTAAGCATTTTAGTTTCCACGATAGCTGAAAATAGTCTCTCAACATTTGTAATTGCAACGACAAAAATAGTCTTTAAGATTTTAGCTTGATCTTTAGTTTGCAACGTGAAATTACTTATCGGGCTAGAAAGCAAATGTGATAATAAGTCTTCTATGCTTTTTGAGGTTGTTATTAACGGCTAATGGAAGTTGGACTTCTTATTCATCAGTTTAAATTTATAAATTAGTTGTAAAGTTCTTACATTAAAGCCTTTAATTGTATCCTTTCTTATTCATCAGTTTAAATTTATAAATTAGTTGTAAAGTTCTTACATTAAAGCCTTTAATTGTATCCTTTCCGTTTTACCCCTACCTAAAGATGAATTTGTTAGAGATCATTATCTAATGGTGGATTGACATTTATTTGTATTGTTCAAGATAAGCCCATAAAGATATCTATTGTGTTTATACAAGGCGCATTAGAGAGTTTGAGCATAAGGCTAAGAGCGAAGGATATTCGATATGCCAAAGAAAATTTAACTTTTGAGTGCACCTTCAATGGAGATGTTAATGAACTTCAAATTATGGTTTTGGAAGAGAACACATAGGAGTTATGTGGATCGAGCTCGCGGGGCGGTTGAGGGTGGTGGGCCCCGGGCACCTTGGCCCTCTCCCCTGCTAACTCCCTCCCTTTGCCCATGGTCCTACACTTTATAGCATGTCGTGAGGATGTTGAGGTCCAACTTACCACAGAATAAGTCAATTTTCTCGAGTCCTTATGGATTAGGTTCATCAAAACTAGCGAATAGATCGTGGAACAACTTATAGTGCAATACCAGTATAATGACTAGCTCTTGGTTAACTCAAGCTTGGATGCTAATATTTTTATTTTGGTTCTTATATATCAGTGTGATTATAATAATAGTTAGGTAGTCGAAGAACATGTATCGATATGCCCACATTTACTTGATAATTATGAATGCCATTGACCCTGGTATCGTATTTGCATCCAATAAGATCTGGCTATCATGAACCATTTGCCACTAATATTTCCTCTTATGCCTTTATGAAGTGGTAGCTTCTTTTGATCCTCTGCATTCATAATTCCTTATAATTTATCAGTATCTAACATATCTATCATTTATTTATTTTGCTCCCATTCTCTAACTGTGTTGGAAATGGGAATATATTTGAAAATGCTCACGTCTTGTGATTAAGCTAGTGCTTGGCATGTTTCTGCTTGATTGTTGCGAACTTGTGATGCTAGATCTTATATTCATATATATGTTAAGTGTTGGCCTTTTTTGTTTGGATGATGTTTTAACAAATAATTTATAACTAATATTGTTTGTCTAGTGTTTGTATTTTTTTATTTATTCTAGGCAAATAATGTGTCGGAGGTTAGATGGAATCGAGCATTCACGATCACATCTAATGGAGGTTGGTGGAATATCGGAGTGAAGTAATACATCAAGCCATATTCAAGTTCAAACTTCATCCACATAGTTTACCAAGTCGGGCTTATTGAAGATCAAGATAGCTTGGGTAATTTAGTTTTAGGTTATATTATGTGTGTTGGTACTTTAAGCTCAATCATACACACACATACACGTTTTGGTTATATATATATATATATAT